TTTTTCGATTTGAAAATTTTCGATTTTTCTTTTTTGTTTCTTCAATTTTTATTTTTAGATTTCGCAATTTTTCGATTCTTCAGTATTTGAAATTTTCGATTTGAAATTTTTTGTTAGTTTTTTGTTTTCTTAATTTTTATATTTTTTCAATTTTTCATTGTTCGAAATTTATTACTTTTTGTTTTTTCAATTTTTCATTTTTCAAATCTTCGATTTACAATCTTTCAATTTATCTTTTTTTTTTGGTTTCTTCAATTTTTCATTTCTTTAAATTTTCGCTTTATAATTTTCCATTACGGTTTTTTGTCTCCTTTATTTTTATAATTTTTCGTTTTTTCAAATGTGTCGATTTGAAATTTTTTATTTTCTTGGTATCTTCATTTTTTCATTTCTTCAAATTTTTGCTTTGTAATTTTTCATTAGATTTTTTGTTTGCTTTATGTTATAGTTTAGTTTTTCAATTTTTCATTGTTCTGAATTTATTTTGTTTCTTCAATTTCAGTTTTTCATTTCTTCAATTTTTCGATTTTCAGTTTTTTGGGTTTGGTTTTTCAGTGTCTTGATTTCACAATTTTTCTTTTTTTCAATGTAAAATTTTTCAGTTTTTGTATTTTTCAATTTTTCAACTTTTAGATTTTGTAATTTTTCGTTTCTTCAATTTTTGATTTGCAATTTTTCAAATTTTCATGTTAAATGTTAAATAAGGTATAATTTAAAAAAATCGTCACTTTTTCAATTTTGGCATTTTAGAATTCTCGACTACCAAATTTTTCAATTTTTCGATATTACAATTTTTCATTTTTTCGATTTCTCAATGTTTTTAATATTTCGATTTTTCGTTTCCTCAGTTTTTTTAAGTTGCTGCCTTTTGTTTTCTATTTAACCCCAATTTTTTAATTTTCATTTTCCACATTTTAAGTATATTACAATTTTTCGTTTTTCCATTTCCCTTGATTCATAATTACTCATTTTTTTAACTTTCATTTTTTCTATTTTTCAGTCGCTCGATTTCCAAAATTTTCAAGTTTTCGATGTTACAATTTTTAATTTTTTTGATTTTTCCGTTTCTCAATTTTTAATTTTCTGAATTTTCAGTATTACAGTTTCTCAACTTTTTTCTTCTTTTTTCAATGTTTTGTTTCTTCAGTTGTTCGATATGCAGTTTTTCGATTTTCCACTTTTTCTGTTTCGAAATTTTTCGTTTTTTCGGTTTTTTCCGAATTTAAAATTTAAAAACTCGAAAATCGAGGAAATGAAAAATCAAAGATTGAAAATTTGAAAAACTAAATAACCGAAACATGATAAAATCGAATGAAACATTGAAAAAAATAAAGTAAATGAAAAAACGAAAAATTGTGACAGAAAATCGAGAACATACAAAAAAGACAAAAAATTGTAAAATTGAGAAACTGAAAAAAAAAATCAAGAATTTTGTAAAATTGTAGAAGTGAAAAATTGAAAAACTAAAAAATCGAAAATTCTAAAAATTGGAAAAATTATGAAACCGAAACATTGAAAACGGAAGAACTGAAAAATGAAAGTAAATAAAAAAACTGAAAACTTAAAAATTGTAAAATTGAAAAGTTGAAAAATAAAATCAAGAACTTTAGAAACTAAAAATGAAAAAATCGGGAAAATGAAAAAATCAAAAACTTGAAAAATTGAGGAAACAAAACATTTAAGACAAAAATTATGAAACTGAAAACAAATCAAGAATTTTGTAAAATTGTAGAAGCCAAAAATTGAAAAATAGAAAAATTAAAATTTGACAAACTAAAAAATCGAAAAATCCAATAATGAAAATGTGCAAAATACAAAAATTTCAAAATTAAAAAGTTGCAAACCAAACATTGAAGCAATGAAAAATTATGAAACCAAAATATTGACAAATGAAAGAAAATAAAAAGACGGAAACTTGTGATAAAAAATTTAAATTCGAAACAATGTAAAATTAAAAAGTTGAAAAATTACAAATTGCGAAACTAAAAATCGAAGAATTGAAAAATAAAAGAAAAAATGACATCAAAAAATTGGTCGACGGTAACTGAATTAAAATTTTTTGAAAAATTTGAACATTTGATTTTGTCAATTTTATTTCTTTATGATCAAGTGAGTTTCTCCATTACAAAATGACGACGATGATGACGTCATCAATTTTTTGAGACGAGTTAAACAAATGAATTTTGATTAACGATTTACCTTGATTACGATTTTTCGATTCGATTCCTTTTTTTTTTCTTCTTTCCAATTTTTCTATTCATTAATTTTTTCGATTTAAAGTTCTCGATTTTTAGTTTTTCGAGTTGTTCGATTGTCCCCTTTTTCAGTTTTGAAATTTTTCGTTTTTTCAGTTTTTTCCGGTTTTTTAACTTTTCGAATCAAAAGAATGGAAACATTGCAAAATTGTAAAATTTTGCAATGTAAAACTCACGAATGAAAAAACGAAAACGTAGAAAATGAAAACTTTGAAAAGTCTAAAAACTTGAAATCAAGAACTTGAAAAATTGAAGAAACAAAAAATTGAAAAATTTCAAAATTGAAAAATCGAGGAACTGAAAATTCAAAGATTGAAAATTTGAAAAACTGAATAAAGGAAAAATGATAAAATCGAAAGAAACATTGAAAATATAAAGGAAATGAACAAACGAAAGATTGTGATATAAAATCGAGAAAATAAACATGAAAAAATCGCCAAAATGACAAAATCAAGAACTTGAAAAATTAAGGAAACGAAGAATTGTAAAATTCAGAAATTGAAAAATAAAAATCAAGAACCTGAAAAATTAGAGAAGCGAAATATTGAAAAATCGAAACACGAACAACAAAAAACTGAAAAAACGAAAAATTGTAAAATCGAAAAATTTCAGAAGTAAAACTTGACAAAATTAAATTTGAAAAAACGAAAATTGAAGATTGTAAAATGGAAAGATTGAAAATAAAAGAAAATGAAAAACGAGAACTTGTGCTAAAAAAATTTAAAATCGAAAAATTGGAAAATTAAACATCAAGAAAGCATGGATTATAAATTAAAAACTTGAAAAATTGAAGGAACGAACAACTGAAAACTAAAAAATTGTAAAATTAGGCAGAGAAATTAAAAAATCAAAAAACGAAAAATAGAAAAAATGAAAAATTGTAAAATCGAATGATTTCAAAGCTAAAAAACTGCAAACCAAAACGTCGAAGAAACGAAAAATTGAATGGAAACATTGAAAAATGAAAGAAAATGAAAAAAACGGAAACTTGTGACAAAAAACTTTAAAATCGAAAAATTGGACAATTAAAAACCAAGAAAAACATGAATTATGGATTAAGAATTTGAAAAATTGAAGAATCGAACAACTGAAAACTTAAAAATCGTAAAATCGAGAAGCTGAAAAATAAAAATCAAGAACTTCGAAAACTAAAAATTGAGAAACCAAAAATGAAAAAATTTTTGGTTTTTTCAGTTTTTTCCGGTTTTTCGAATCAAAAGAACGGAAACATTGCAAAATTGAAGACTCACGAATGAAAAAACGAAAACTTATAAAATGAAAACTTTGAAAAATCTAAAAACTCGAAAATTTGAAGAACCGAAAAATTGAAAAATCGAAAAATTAAAAATTGAGAACCTTAAAAATCGAAAAAACGGAATTTTGCAAAACTGAAAAATTTAAAAACTGGAAAAGTTATAAAATCGAAAGAAACATTGAAAATATAAAGGAAATGAACAAACGAAAGATTGTGATATAAAATCGAGAAAATAAACATGAAAAAATCGGGAAAATGAAAAACCAAAAACTTGAAAAGTCGAGGAAACGAAAAGTGAAGACAAAAATTGTAAAATTGAGAAACTGAAAAAACGTCAAGAATTTTGTAAAATTGTAGAAGTGAAAAATTGAAGAATCAAAAATTGCAAACCAAACATTGAAGGAACGAAAAATTGGAAACATTATGAAACCGAAACATTGAAAAATGGAAGAAAATAAAACGGAAACTTGTGATAAAACATTTTAAAATCGAAAAATTGGAAAATTAGACTCAAGAAAAACATGAATTATGAATTAAGAACTTGAGGAATTGAAGAAACAAACCGAAAACTTAAAAATTGTAAAATTGAAAAGTTGAAAAATAAAATCAAGAACTTCAGAAACTAAAAACTGAGAAACTAAAAATGAAAAAATCAAAAACTTGAAAAATTGAGGAAACAAAAAACATTTAAGACAAAAATTATGAAACTGAAAACAAATTAAGAATTTGTAAAATTGTAGAAGCCAAAAAATGAAAATTTGCAAAATAAAAAAATTTCAAAATTAAAAAGTTGCAAACCAAACATTGAAGCAACGATAAATTCAAAGAAGTAAAAATTATGAAACCAAAATATTGAAAAATGAAAGAAAATAAAAAGACGCAAACTTGTGATAAAAAAAATTTAAATTCGAAACAATGTAAAATTAAAAAGTTGAAAAATTACAAATTGCGAAACTAAAAATCGATGAATCGAAAAATAAAAGAAAAAACAAGAACTTGTGACATCAAAAAATTGTAACATTTGATTTTGCCAATTTTATTTCTTTATGATAAATAACCTTTGTAAGTTAAAAAAAGTTATGTATGCGATGCTAAAGTAAATAAATATAAAGAAGCGTGTTATGCGTTATTTCAAGTGAGTTTCTCCATTACAAAATGATGACGATGATGACGTCATCAATTTTTTGAGGAGTTAAACAAATGAATTTTGATTAACGATTTACCTTGATTACGATTACCTTAAACCGTTTGCAAGATTTAAGAGCATTCGGTTTTGGATTTTCAAAAATCCGGATGTTTAGGGTCAAACACCACAAGTGGGGGGGGATCTTATTTTGTAAAATTAAAAACACTTATTTTTTTTATTATTTGTACATTATGGAGATGACGTCTGGTGGTGGTGTTTTAGCTTACGCTCGGGAAGTACTAAAAAAATCAGAAAAATGGTTTTCAGTGTCCATCGAGGTGTCCCTATTAAAAAGTGAAACACGTTTTGGATGCAATAGAACTCATATATTCTCTGTAAACAATACAAATACAACAATTATGGCAAAATTTGGCATTAAATGCTTTGGCGTTATTAATTAATAAACCCATGATAATGAAGAACATCAATAAGATAAAATAAATACAAGATACAAGACTATTCAAGGTAAGAAAATTGAAATTAATACTACGATCTTGAAAATGTACTAGCAATATGTGAAAATACTCTGTAGAAATACTCTCTATATTAAAGACTAAGGCAAACCTCGTTAGTCCTCACAATACGATAATTATCACTAGAAATTTGACTAACTCTCCATCTTGTCACTACCCCCCGCTACTTCCCCCGTATCTACGTTAACGAACTGTTTCTCCCCGTCGTTATTATTGAACTTTTCCGAAACGTCCTCACTCAGCGGCGGCAGGAACTCCTTCTCCTCCCCCCCGTTCTCCTCGAACACCACCTCCCCGCTCTTCTCCTCGTCGTCGACCTTCTTCGACACCAGCTTGAAATTATCACACACCATGTACCCTTCCACTTGGCCACTTTTTGGTAAGAAGTGCAACTTGGTATGATCCCTCAGAAAGTGCACTTGCGGAACCGAATAATCACAGTGCTCGCACGTGTAATTGTTTTTAGTCCCCGACACGCTGACGTGCCGCTTCTGGTGGTTGTCCACCGCGTCCTTCCTGTAATTCACGTACGGACAACTCGGGCACGTGAACGTCTTCTTCTCCTCCTCCTTCGGACTAGCACTATTGACTAACAACCGTTGCTGCAGGATATTGTAAGCTTGCTGATCGCCCAGCGACAGCTTCCTCTCGCTCATCGCGTCTTCGGTAACTTCCTCCTCCACCTCCATCTCGACGTCGTCGCAATCGCGCGCCGCCAACGCCTCCGAACTCATCTTGTGCTTCTTCAAGTGTTGCACGTAGTTGGCGTAGTACTTGACCGAGTAGTCGCAGTACTCGCAATTGTACTTCTGCTTGGAACCGTGCAGGTTCAAGTGCACTTTGTATTGCTCGCGTTTCTCGAACGCGCTAGGGCACTTGTGACACTTGTAGCGCTTTTCTTTCATTTTGCCGTTCTTCAAGTACGTGGGGTAGACGAAGTTCGGGTTGCCGTGCATGAGGGTGCCGAATTGGGGGTCCGAGGGCTTCGGCGACGACTCCTTGAGGAGTTGGGCTTGCTTTTGCTCGGCTTCGGACTTCTGCTGGAAGAGCTCGGTACCCGAGAGGGGGACGTTGAGGCTCGACTTCGACGGTTTACTGATAACGGCACTTATTTCTTCCATTTCTATGTCGGATTTGGGGTCGGAACAGACCACCCAAATTATCTCACCGTCGCAGTTGGCGGTATTGTACAACTCGGGTTGGTGGTTGTGGCTCTTGTGCATACTCTGCAACACTTGAGTACGCTCTTGGTACTGCTGCGAGTGCACGTTCTTGTGGGCTAGCAGATGTGGTTTCTGTCTAGCCGAGTAGGAACAGTGGTCGCACTTGTAGTACGACCTCAATCCGTGCAACCTAACGTGGATTTTGTATTCGTTCTCTTTGAGGAAGCGTGCCGGACACTCCATACAAAAGTACAACGACACGTCGTCGTCACCCTCTTCGCTTTCCACCAAACCGCTAGCCTCCGCGTTCTCGTAGTCATCCAAATTGATCGTCTCCATAGTCGGAGGGTTCAAGAACTTGCTCAACTCGCGAATCTGCTCTTCGTCGGTTTTCACTTGATCCACGAGACAGTGCACCGTCCCGTACAACCCCTGGTGTACTTTAGAGTGCGACGACAGCACACCCGCATTGTTGCAAACGTAGTTGCACTCGCTGCACCGGTGCTCCACGTCGCTGCCCCGACTCGAGTTCGGATTCTTCTCCCTCACGCTATGCATCTTCTCGTGCTCCTGTATATTCACCTTCCTCAAGTTCACGTGCGGACAAAACCGACACTTGAACATCTTAGCGAACTTCCCGTTCTTGCTCACCCACACCAACGGGATATCCGGGAATGCCTGTCCCTCGAACCCTTGCACCTCTTCGATCTCGTCCGACATATCGTCCACGTCGATCACGTCCCCGTTGTGCTTCTGCGACCCCACACTGATCCCGTGCACCTTCAAGTGCTGGTGCAGAAGATGTCTCTTACTCACGTTGTAGCTGCACTGGGTACAAGTATACTGTCCCCCCCTCGGCTTATGGAACTGCTTGTGATACGTGTATTGCGACTTGGAATTGGTCACGTAGGGACACACCGCGCACTTGAACCTCTTCCCGAAGTCCCCGTCGGGACTGTACAGCTTGGCGAGGAAGTCCTCCGGGTCGGCGATCCCGTGCAGCCGCAAATGCTCGTACAAGTTCTCCTTCTTGTTGACGAAGAAGTTGCAAAATTGACACTTGAGGACGCTGTCGGCGGCCGCGTTGTGTCCCGGTAGGTGACCATCCAAGTCCGACTGGTCGTCGCTCGAGAACGGACACGACGGACACTTGAAAGCGCCATCCTGCGGCACGTCCACGTGGTCCGGCTCGTCGGTCTGCTCCTCGATCTCGAGCTTCTCCTGGCCGTTCTTGTTGCTGACGACGCGGATGTCGCCGCTGTGCTTGAGGCGGCAGTGGCGCTGTAAAAGGGACGGAGGTTAGGGGCGGCCGGCGAGGTGGGGGCGGTGCGGTTAGCGGGTTAGGGGGTTAATCGACTATCTAAATACGGAGACAGTGCGACATGCAGTGTTTAAGTTAGCGTTAGCGGATGAGTGTACTAACAAGTACTAAGTCGGCTCGTATCGAACGGTTATACTTTTCGTGGCGATTTTAATATTAGCTTTGTTGGAAAACACGGTTGTGAGTACTGATTTAGATTCTATTCTACCACAGTTTAAGCAAGATCGAAACCAGATTTGGGTGTTACGGCGTTTTCGATAGCGGAACTCACTTTCTGAAGAAGCAACGAGCAATTTTAGTGAGAAACCTACAAAAAAATATATATTAGACAACGTTTTACCTTTAAAAGCTTGTTAATAGGTTTTGAGTGAGTATCTACTTCTACCGATTAATAGTAAATATGAGTGAATGGATTTGGAGACATGAGAACGAACTGCGAACACCCTCTTCCCGCTTAGTGACAATTGTGCGCCATTTTGAGCCACATCGAGGTCAGTAAAAGGGCGCCAAATTCGAATTTAATTACTAATCAGTAACAAAATAGATAAATGATGTAATTACTGAAAAGCGACGACTAGAAACAGCAGGTGGTATCACCATAACAATTTATCATTTTGTAGTCACGTAATCTAACCGGTGTTGCCAAGTTTATTAAGATTTCAAAAATATCTCTAAAATGTTCTTTACCTCCCAATGTTAATAATAAATACTAATAACAAGGAATAAGCAAAGTTGGCTCTGCGCAGGCCATTTTCTATGAAACGACTGTACACGATGACAATTTTCAATGATTGGTTTTTCAATTGTCCGGTTTTTACAATTTTGCATTTTTTTAACTTCCTATTTATATAAATTTAGGTTTTTCATTTTTTTTTTATTTTATCTTTGTTCAATTTTTTATTTGGTCAAATTTCCAAGTTCTTGACTTTTAATTTTTTTAGATTTTCGAATTTGCAACTTTTGATTTTCATTTTCTCAGTTTTCAATTTTTCCATTTTCGACTTTTCGATTTTTAATTTTGAAATTTTTCAGTTTTTACAATTTTCGTTTTTAAAAATTGTGAAGGATCTTGGGGTTATTTTCACCGGCAATTTTGGTTCGGAAACATCGTAACACTGTTTCTTAGAAAAATTAAAAAAAAAAAAAAACTAAAATCGAAAAATAGTGGCAACGAAAATAGAGAAATTAAAACTCGAAAAAAATTGGAAAATCGAAAAATTGAAACATTGAAAATACGAAGAATTAAAATATCTCAAAACTGAAAAAAGTAGAGAAAAATCGAAAAATTGTAAAACAAAAAAGTGAAAATCGCAAAATTGCAAATCGAAAAATTGAAAAATGGAAAAATTGAAGAATCGAAAATTTGGAAACAAAATTAAAGAGATCAAAAAATGAAAAATCAAACAATTAAAAATCGAAAAACTGAGGAAACGAAAAATTGAAGAATTAAAAACTGAAAATTTGGAAATTCATAAAATGGAAAAATTGGCTTTAGATTTTTCAATTTTTTTATGTATCAATTTTTCGACTTTGAGTTTTCAATTTTTCGATTTTTAATTCTTCTACAAAAAGAACAATTTATTCAAACTCAATTTTTAAAAATTGTGAGGGAGATTTTGGTACGGGGACATCGTAACACCTAAAATCGAGAAAAATTGGAAAATCGAAAAACTGAAACACTGAAAACACGAAAAATTAAAATATCGCAAAATTCAAAAATTTCAAATAGAAGAATTGAAAAAACTAAACTGGAAAATCGAAAAACTGAAAATTCGAAAAAATTGAAAACAAAAAAATTGTAAAAATAAAAAATCGCAGAACTGCAAATCGACAAATGGAAGAAATGAAACATTTTTAAAATAAAAAAATTAAAAATCGAGAAATTAAAAAACCGAAAAATCGGAAACAAAATTAAAGAGACCAAAAAATTTAAAATAGCAAAAATTGAAAAACTGAAATATCAAAAAATTGTAAAATGGAAAAATTGAAAAATCAAAACCCAAAAATTTGAAAATTGATAAAATGGAAAAATTGGTTTTAAATTTTCTGGTTTTTCAATTTACGGATTTTTAAAATTACTGATTTTTAAATTTTTCAATTTTTCTAAATTACTTAATTTTACATTTTACGATTCTCTTTAGATTTTTTTTAAATTTTATATTTTTAATATTTCATTTTTTTTTTTTGATTTTAATCTTTAACTTTACACTGTTTTGGATTTTTTATTTTCAATCTTTCTACAAAAAAAAATAATTTATTCAAACCCAATTTTTAAAAATTGTGAAGGAGATTTTGGGATTATTTTCGCCTGCAATTTTTGGAATTGTAACACTGTTTCTCAGAAAAATTAAAAAGTAAAAAAAAAAAAACCAAAATCGAAATATGTATTGAGAAAACGAAACACAAAAAACACAAAAAAAATTGAGAAACTAAAACATCTAAAAATTGAAAAATTACAAATAGAAAAAATGAAAAAACTAAACTGAAAATTCGAAGGACTATCAATTGAAAAATTAACAATTCGAAAAAATTGAAAATCAAAATATACTAAAATAAGAAAAAAATGGAAATTGGATTTTTTATTTTCAATCTTTCTACAAAAAAAAATAATTTATTCAAACCCAATTTGTAAAAATTGTGAAGGAGATTTTGGGATTATTTTCGCCTGCAATTTTTGGAATTGTAACACTGTTTCTCAGAAAAATTAAAAAGTAAAAAAAAAACTAAAATCGAAATATGTATTGAGAAAACGAAACACAAAAAACACAAAAAAAATTGAGAAACTAAAACATCTAAAAATTGAAAAATTACAAATAGAAAAAATGAAAAAACTAAACTGAAAATTCGAAGGACTATCAATTGAAAAATTAACAATTCGAAAAAATTGAAAATCAAAATATACTAAAATAAAAAAAAAATGGAAATTCGAAAAACTAAAATATCTCATAATTGAAAACGAAGAACTGAAAAAGTAAACTGAAAATTCGAAAAAGCCGAAAATCAAAAAATTGTAGAACGAAAAATTTAAAAAATTCAGAAAATTAAAAATCGAGAAACTAAAAAATCGAAAAATTCAAAATTGTAAAACTTGAAGAATCGAATAGTTGAAAACAAAATTAAAGAGACCAAAAAATGAAAAATCGAAAAACATTGGAAATTTTCGAGTGAAACATCAAAAAATTGTAAAATGGAAAAATTGGTTTTGGATTTTTCGATTTTTCAATGAAGTTTCAGTTTCCCATTTTTTAAGTACATATGAATTTTTCGACTTTGAGTTTTCAATTTTTTGACTTTTCGATTTTCAATCTCTAAATTTTTCAATTTTTAATTTTTCAATTCTTTAATTTTACATTTATTTCGATTTTAAATATGTATTACTTTCATTTAAATAAATAAATCAATAATTTTTCAATTTTTATACACAAACAACAATTTATTCAAACTCAATTTTTAAAAATTATCGTAACGCTATTTATTAAAAAAATTAAAAATCCAAGATCGACAAAAATTAAAATATCTCAAAACTGAAAAATTGCAAATTGAAGAACTGAAAAAACTAAACCTGAAAAATTGAAAAACTACAAATTGAAAAACTGAATATACGAAAAAATTGCAAATCGAAAAACTGTAAAACGAAAAAGTCAAAAACAGAAAAATTGCAAATCGAAAAATTAAAGAAACGACAAATCTAAAAAATTGAAGAAATGAACATTTGAAAAATTGAAGAATCCAAAAATTGGAGACAAAATTAAAGACGCCGAAAAATGAAAAATCGAAAAAAATTTAAAAATCCAAAGTGAAAAATTGAAAAAATTAAAAAATACAAAAATTAGAAATTGTTAAACTCAAAATTCGAAAAAAATTGAAAAATCGAAAAACTGCAAATCGAAAAATTGAAGAAACGATTGTTCGTTTTTTTAATTTTTCAATGAAAAGACAAAAACTAAAAATTTGAAAATTCATGACATGGAAAAATTGGTTTTCAATTCGGTGTTTCAATTTACCGATTTTTAAAATCTCTAATTTTTAGATTTTTCAATTATTCGGTTTTTAAAGTTCCTTTTTTAGTTTCTCGATTTTTCGATTCCGGATTTATCGAGATTTCCATGTTTTGATTTTTCTTCTCAATCTTTCGATGTTTAGATTTATCGATTTTTCGTTTTTTCCTCATTTTATTAGTTGTATATTTTTCATTTAACAACTTTTCCAATTTACGATTTTTTGTTGTTTCGATTTCCCATTTTTATGATTTTTTTAACATTCATTTTTTTCGAATTTTCGATTTGACAACATGACTTTTTGATTTTTCGATTGCCCAATTTTTCAACATTTCAATTTTGGGAAATTTTCAATTTCAGGATTTTTCGGTTTTCCAACTTACCGATTTTTACAAATTCTGATTTTGAGATTTTTAATTTTTAAAGTTTTTAAATTTTTCCTTTTTTTTAGTTATTTGATTTTTCTATAGCCGGATTAATTGAGATTTTGATGTTACGATTTTTCGATTGTTCAACCTCCCAATTTTTCGATTTCTCGATCTTTTGTTTCGATTTATCGATGTTTCAATTTTTCAGTTCTTCAATTTTTCCAATTTTTAATTTTTCTTAATTTTTTAAATTTTATATTTTTCAATTTTTCGAATTTACGATTTTTTGATGTTTCGATTTCCCATTTTAAAATTTTTTAACATTTAATTTTTTCAAACTTTCGATTTCACATCGGTTTTTCGACTTTTTGATTTTTCGATTGTCCAATTTTTCTACATTTCAATTTAGGGAATTTTTCAAGTTCAGGATTTTTCGGAAAATCGAAAAATTGAAACATTGAAAACAGGAAAAATTAAAATATCTCAAAACTGAAAAATTACAAATAGAACAACTCAAAAAACCAAACTAAAAACTCGAAGGACTACCAATTGAAAAACTAACAATTCGAAAAAATTGAAAATCAAAAAATTGTGAAATGAAAAAAGTGAAAAATCGTAAAGTTGAATGAAAAACGAAAAATTGAAAACAAAATTAAAGAGACCAAAAAATGAAAAATCGAAATATCTAAAAAATCTAAAAAAAAAAGAAAATTCGAAAAATTAAAATATCTCATAACTGAAAAAGAACTGAAAAAACTAAACTGAAAATTTGAAAAAATTAAAAATCGAAAAACTGAACCATGAAAATACGAAGAATTAAATATCTCAAAATTGTAAAACGAAAAATTTTAAAAATTAAAAAAATTACAAATAAAAAAACTAAAAAATCGAATAATTGGAAACAAAATTAAAGAGACCAAAAAATGAAAAATCAAACAATGAAAAATCGAAAAACTGAAACATCAAAAAATAGTAAAATGGAAAAACTGAAAAATCTAAAAACTGAAGAAACGAAAAAATGAAAAATTAAAAACTAATTATTGGAAAATTCATAAAATGGAAAAATTGGTTTTAGATTTTTCCATTTTTCAAATAAGCGACTTTTCAGTTCCCTATTTTTTAAGTATCAATTTTTCGATTTTGGATTTTTCAATTTTTAATTTTTCGGTCTTTAATTTTACATTATTTTCGATTTTAAATACATATCCTCCACTCTGTAACTTTCATTTAAATAAATAAATAAATAAATAAATGAGTTTTCAATTTTTCTACACAAATAACAATTTATTCGAATTAAATTTTTAAAAATTGTGAAGGAGACTGCAATTTCGGTACAGGGACATCCTAACACTGTTTCTTAGAAAAATTAAAAAATTAAAAAATCGGAAATCAACAAAAAAATTAGAAAATCGAAAACACGAAAAATTAACATATCTCAAAATTGAAAAATTCCAAATTAAAGAACTGAAAAAACTAAACCGTAAAATTGAAAAACTAAAGAAACGAAAAATTTTAAAAATCAAGTACATAATTAAAAAATCGAAAAATTGAAGAAATAAACATTTGAAAAATGGAAAAATTGGAAACAAAATTAAAGAGACCAAAAAATGAAAAATAGAAAAAATTAAGAAATCGAAAAATTAAAAATTGCAAAATTAAAAAATCGAAAAATTAGAAACACAAAAAACTAAAATATCTCAAAATTGTTACAGAAGGACTAAAAGAACTAAACTAAAAATTCGAAAAAATTGAAAAATCGAAAACGATTTTTCATTTGTTTAATTTTTCAATGAAAAAACAAAAACTAAAAATTTGAAAATTCATAACATGGATAAATTGGTTTTAGATTTTTCGGCTTCTCAATTTAAATTTTTCTTTTTTCTAGTTTTTCGATGTTTCGAGTTCTCGATATTTCAATTTTTCAATTTTTAATGTTTCGATTTTTCGATTTCTCCGTGTTTAGATTTATCGATTTTTCAATTTTTCCTCGTTTTATTAATTGTATATTTTTCATTTATCAATTTTCGAATTTTCAATTGACAACATATCGGTTTTTCGACGTTTTGATTTTTCGATTGCCCAATTTTTCAATATTTCAATTTTGGTAATTTTTCAATTTTTCAGTTTACCGATTTTCATTGTTTCTGATTTTTTTATTTTGAAAGTTTTTAATTTTTCCTTTTTTTAGTTTTTCGATTTTTCGATTGCTCAACTTCCCAATTTTTCGATTTCTTGATTTTTCGGTTTTTCGATTTCTGGACTATCGGATTTCTCAATCTTTTGATGTTTCGATTTTTCGATATTTTGTTTCGATTTATCAATGTTTCAATTTTTGTTTGCTTTTTTTAATTTTATATGTATTTTTCATTTTTTTTTGATGTATCGACGATTTCCCTTTTAAAAATGTTTTATCATTTTATTTTTTCAAATTTTCGATTTCTCCACATCAGTTTTTTCGATTTTTCATTTTTTCAACATTTCAATTTTGGGAATTTTTCATTTTTCGATTGTTCAAATTTCTGATCTTTCAACTTCAATTTTTAATGCTTCGATTTTTCGATTTCTTGATTTCTCGGTTTTTAGATTCCCCGATTTTTCCATCTTTTGCTTCAATTTTTCGAATTCACATTTTTTTGTTCCGATTTCCCGTTGTTTTAATTTTTTAACATTTCATTTTTTCAAATTTTCGATTTATCAATTTTTCTAGATTATTCAATTTTTTGATAATTCGACTGCTCCATTTTTTCAACTTCCGTCACATTTTTGAAAAAAAAAAAGAACAATTATTTACTTTTAATTTGTAGGAAAAATTTTTAAATTACCTTTTTCAGTCTGAATGTGTCTCTTTGTTCCTTTGTTTCGGTTTGCCAAGATTATGAAGACACTGACATAAGATTAAGATAAGATTTAACAGTGAACCTTTTATAAAATAAAAAAAAAAAAATTCGGAAAAAATCAAAATAATAAAGAAAATTTGGAATGTATTTTCAAAATTACAAAACCGACTTTCAAAGTCAAAATTTGTCTATCCATTAAAAAATCCAATAACATCCACTGTAAATTAAAACAAACTCTAAATAAATCGATAAAACGTCTAATCTCGCAGCTGCCAACCGTACTCAACAAAAACGTACTCAAAATAATGAACTGATTGTCTTTCACTAAGAACCCTAACGCATCCTTTGTAAATTTAGTAACTAGAGGTTCCAGATTCATTAGTACGATTACTGCAACAAAGTTGCGTTTACAATGTATCATTTTGTAGTGACACAATGAAACACGGATACTGCCAACATAATTAACATTCCATAAATATTCCTAAGTCTACCTTGGCTTCCTTGTATTATTAATAATGACACACGTGCAAACACCATGTCCACTGTGGTTGCCGAAGAACAATCCACGGCACTACTTTAATTTAAAATCAAGCACTTGTTATTTTATTTACTGAAATATGAAAAGTGTTTGAATTTCGCGCCTTTTTAAGTTTGATGTGGCACAAGATGGCGCGACCAATAATTTAATTTAACCTCTTCGGACGGGTCATTGTTACTTCCGAATTCAAATATTCACGTACTTTGTGTGCAAATGACTGCTTTGACGAAACAAGTCCAGTTTAAATTTTTCGTGCATTCTTCTAAATCCGCGCATTTACCACACTCGTGTTTCGCATTATTTACATATTAAGTCAAAGCCGCTGATAAAGAACGCAAACGTGCGATAAAGCGCTCCGTTTCGTGTGGCAGAAATTTCACCAACTCGAAAAATCTTAACCGATTAAGTAAATACTCGAAGCGAACGGAAAACCGTAATTCCACGTTATCATAAAGCATTACGGAATTGTATTCGTCGCGGTCATTCCGTCGTAATTCCACTCAAATCAATTATTACCAACCAAACAAAACAGAAAAACCCAACGACGTCCGCATCAACCCAGCCAACGAAAAATAAGAAAAACGAATAATAATTTATTCACGACGAATAAAACGAAAAGAGCACATTACGAATCCGGTGACATCAAGTTTAAATTTACGAAAACTGTTTGCTTTCGACTTCTTATTCTTCTGAATAAATAACGATAAACTAAACTAATAAAAGATTAAATTGTCGAAAGCCGCAAGCCGCTCGTGAATACTTAATGGTAGTGGATTCCGGCTCGTTAAGTTGGCATCCCTTCAAACGTTTGAAATTTTAAACACCAACCATCACGATTAGACTTTTTAATAACAATCGCCAACCGATCGAACAATAGCCATTGTGTTAGTCTGTCATCTTTTCAAAAACCCATAAATACGCAAACACCGTGTCCTTGGAAAAATTAATCTCGTGTCAAAGTGTTGCAAACACAGCATGCACGAAAACAGTGGCGTATCCAAAAGGGACAAACAAGCAAAATCACACACGAACAGCAAGCAGATGAAAATATGCAACACTCATCCACGACACACCCAACGTTTTCGAATACGCCACCGCATGCGAAACACAGCCAAATTGATGCGTTGTCCTCGGCCGCGGCTCGGTACGCACACATACAGCGTGGCCCAAAACAAGCATCTGTTAGTTTGTTAGTAAGCGGTGTTAGTACCTGAATGACATGCTTCCAATTTGATACCTGGTTGCAGTGACCGCAGCGGAAGGGCGCTTGGCTCCCTTTCGCTGACGTGCTAACACTTGCCTCGTCTTTATCAGGGCTGGCACCTCGAATTGTCGTCTCGGGCGCCGGGCTCGGGGTCGACGGGCCCACCTGGAGTTCGTGGGGGTAGTGGCCTTTCACGTGCGCCAAGAGGATGTCGCGGGAGGCGTCCCTAAAAGCGAATTTATTTCATTAGAAAACACTAACAGGATAACATCCTGTGTATCATGTGGTGAATTATTGGTTGCCTAACACACATTTCTATAATTAGTTATTACGGCTACAAAAATACCCGAATTTATCACGAATGGTTTATTATGCACGAATTATTTTGTTTTATAAATTACAACTGCCTTAATTTCGTGTTTTTTTGTATAATTTAGTAACGCCATTTGTGTGGGTGGTTACTTTTGGTTTTTTAATCACAGTACTGGATCTAGAGTCTGTCAGTAATGATCCAGCCCTTCCGGTAACAACAAGTAAGAAAATTATTTTTGACTAAACTACAATTAAAATCAAGAAATTCACGACAGGAAACAAACAGATAAGTTTGATCTTTATTGTATTTGTTTATCGTTGCAGATAAAATTGAAAGTATTTTTTAATTCAATTAAATTTTGCGTTTCGTGAAAAGTGAGGTTATGTTGCACTAAATTTGTACGTGAAATTAATACAATAAATTAATAGTTTGTGTACCGATTTACTTTTCTCGTGCCTCCTATTACCACCAATTGTGTCAACTATACAAGGTGTTATTTAAAGACGACAAACAGAGAATACCGAGAAACGACAGCCCGACATTACTGACACTAATTTTAAGCGATTGTGACCCGTATCGGATTATTTGGTTAGTTCTCCGATTTTACAATTTTTTGAAGTTTAAACTTTTAGCTTTTTAATTTTTCAATTTCGTGTTTTTTTATTTTTCAGCAAAAGAACAAATTTATCCGAACTAAAAATCATTGAAACAATGAAGAATACAAAAATTTTAAAATGAAAAATCCAAAAACTAAAAAATCGAGACACCGAAAAATTGAAAAAACTAAACAATTTTGCAATTTTTCAATTTCAAAGTTTTCAAGTTCTTGATTTTCAATTTTAATCAAAGCGAAATTTTGCAAATCGAATAACTGACACCGAAACTTAAAAAATGCAACAATTAAAAATCGAGATATTAAAAAATCGACCAAACGAAACAATTCTGCAATTTTTCGATGTAAAATTTTTCAAATTCTCGATTTTCATTTTTTATTGTTCAACAAAAGGACAAATTTATTCAAACCGAAATTTTGAAAACTTTAAAAATCAAAAAATTGTAACATTGAAACGTCTAAAAATTATAAAATTGAAAAATCAAAAAATTAAACAAGTGGATAATTGAAAAAACAAATGAAAAATCGAAAAATTGTAATATAGAAACCTGAAAACCCTGATTTATTAAAAATCGAGAAATTGAAATATCGACAAAACGAAGCAATTCTGCAGTTTTTCGATGTAAAATTTTTCAAATTTTCGATTTTTATTTCTTCATTTTTTAGATTTGTCATTTTTTAATTGTTCAACAAAGGGACAAATTTATTCAAAATTTTGAACTGAATTGAAAATCGAAGAATTGAGAAATAAAGAAAACTTGAAAAAAAAAAGGAAAAAATGAGACTTAAAAACTGAAAAAAATATCGCAAAAATTTTAAAATTGAAAAATCGAAAAATTGTAACATGTATTGAAACCTGAAAACCCTGGGTAATTAAAAATGGAGAAAGTGAAAAATTGAAAAAGCAAAAAACAAAAATGAAAACCGGAAAACTAAAAAATTAAGAAATTGTAAAAAAGACCCATTGAAAAATTGTAACGTGGAAAAGACGAAACACTGAAAAACCGAAAAATTTAAAAACCGATAAATCGGAGATTTGAAAAAATACAGAAACTGAAAAATCAGATAATTGAAAAGCCAAGAATTGTACATTTGAAAAAAAACCCTAATAATTATTTGAAAGGTAAAGCTGTAAAGGAAGATCCCTATCATCCTGCTCTTCAGTTTCTTTTTAAAGTATTCCATTCTCAGGCTAAATTTGCAATTAATAACAGCCATCCTTCATATAATTTTAGAAAGGCTGATTATGCACGCATGTACAACCTATTCCTATACGCTGACTGGAGCCCCATTTTAGAATCTACTAATCCTACTGAGGCATGTGAACTTTTCTACAAAACTGTCTATGAAATATTCGATATTACTGTACCATTGCGTCATGTTAGTAAAGCTCAAAGTAAAAATCGTTATCCTTCTTGGTATTCTCCACAAATAATAAGGGTTTTAAAACGTAAAACCAAAGCCCATAGATTATATAAAAGGTATGGTACGTTGTTCTTTTTTAATAAATTTAAACGGTTGAGATCATTGTCTAAATATCTAATCGATACAGCTTACAAGAAATTCATAATTGACGCGGAAAATAACCTCTCAACTGATCCAACGAAATTATGGTCATTTGTTCAAAATAAAAAAAATCAAACTAGAATCCCAAATGTTATCAGGGACGCCGACGATGTATGTTATGACACTCCAGACACTATAGTAGATGCCTTTGCGCGCTACTTTGCAAGTGTTTATCAGCCTTCTAATCCCGGTAATCCGTCGTCTTCGCCGAACTATTTCCAGAACATTGATACCCCGTCGATAAGTGAAAACGATATTCTTATAGCAATCAAGAATATTAAAAGTAAATTTACTGCTTTGTTATTAAAGATTGTGCGTGTGTACTAGCAGTACCGTTACTGCATATATATAATCAAATACTTAAATGTGCTACCTTCCCTTCTATTTGGAAACAGGCCAGAATTTGCCTAATTCTTAAAAAGGGCAATCCTGCACAGATTAGCAATTACAGGCCAATCGCCATTATTAATAACTTTGCAAAAATCTTTGAAATGATTCTATATAAACACATTTACAATAGCATTAAATCCTTTATCTCACCCTTACAGCATGGGTTTGTTGAAAAAAGAAGTACAGTCACCAACTTAGCTACCTTCACGCAGTTCACTGCCAACTGTGTAGATGCAGGGGGTCAAGTTGACGTGATTTACACAGATTTTTGTAAGGCCTTTGATCAAATAGATATATTCATCTTACTTGACAAGATGAATTTACTTGGATTTAATGATCATATATTACATCTTCTATCATCTTACTTATTTGATCGGGTTCTATATGTAGAATATATGGGTCATCAGTCACATCCATTCATCGCTACATCGGGTGTCCCTCAGGGCTCAAATTTGGGACCACTATTGTTCCTTATATTTATTAACGATCTGCCGGAAATTATTAGATGTAATAAGTTGATGTTTGCCGATGATTTAAAAATTTTTAACTCTGTAGCGTCTATAAGTGATTGTCATCAATTACAACAAGATCTGGATAACCTATATCTTTGGTGTGTCAACAATAAACTGCATCTCAATGTAGCTAAATGTTATGTTATGACGTTTACAAAAAAGAAAATACATATCCTTCAATATGACTATTATATTAATAATTACACACTGAATAGACTTAAGGAATCTCGTGATCTTGGTGTAATATTTGATTGTGAATTAAATTTCACTACACATATAAATGAAATGGTTAAATCAGCCAATAAGACCTTAGGTTTCATCTATAGAAATTGTAAGGATTTCAAAAGTTTACATGTTCTGAAGGTTTTGTACTATTCTTTAGTTAGACCTAAGCTTGAATATGGTAGTCTAGTTTGGCATCCCATATATGTAGTCCATAAACACCACATTGAGTCAATTCAAAGGAGATTTTTGAAATATCTCATGTTTAAAACTCATGGTTTCTACCCGCCTAGAGGAATCGACCATGGTGAGCTTCTGCAGATGTTTAACTGTGAATCACTCGAATTCCGTCGCATAACTGCAGCTGTTAAATTTTTGTATAACTTAGTTTGGGTTAAAATAGATTGCACTGACCTATTAGGCTCCATAAATTTTTTAGTTCCAAGAGCAGGAGTCCGTCTATACTTAAGTTTTTATAATCTTAATGCAAGAACAAATGTACTTCGCAAAAGTCCAGTCTATTTAATGCATTGTTATTTCAATATAATTTGTCGTGACTGTGATTTATTCAGCGATTCTTTGCACTTTATTGTTAAGATTTTGTCTGGAAAATTGCATCCCTATGTATTGTAACTTAATTGTAATTGTAATTTCCTGTTATATATGTATTTTGTATTTTTTTTTTGCCTACTTGTGGCTTATGCTGTTTGGCAAATATATACCTATTATTATTGAAAAAAGTGAAGAATACAAAAATTTTAAAATGAAAAATTCAAAAAGTTCAAAATGAAAATCGATAAACTAAAAACTCGAGACACCGAAAAATTGAAAAATTGTAAAACCATGGAAAAATTAAAAATAAAACTGCAAATTCGGATAACTGAAAAATTGGAAAAACGAAAAAATAAAAAATCCCGAAATTGAAACATTAGAAACGAAAAACGAAACAATTTAGCAATTTTTCAATTTCAAAGTTTTCAAGATCTTAATCAAAACGAAATTTTGCAAAATCGAGACATTGAAAAATCGACCAAACGAAACAATTCTGCAATTTTTCGATATAAAATTTTTCAAATTCTCGATTTTTCATTTTTTAATTGTTCAACAAAAGGCGAAATTTATCCAAACCGAAATTTTGAACTGAATTGAGAAATAAAGAAAACTTGGAAAAAGACGAAAAAATGAAACTTGAAATATCGAAAATTTTAAAATTGAAAAATCGAAAAATTAAACAATGGGATAATTGAAAAAAGAATTGAAAAATCGAAAAATTGTAATATTGAAACCTGGAAACCTTGATTAATTAAAAATCGAGAAAGTGAAAAATTGAAAAAGCGAAAAACAAAAATTCTTAATTTCAAAATCCAAACATTTTAAAATGAAAACCGGAAAACTAAAAAATCAACAAATTGTAAAAAAGAAACATGGAAAAATAGAAAAGTTGTAACGTTGAAAAGATGAAACACTGAAAAGTCGAAAAATTTAAAAACCGAGAAATCGAAGCTTTGAAAAAATACAGAAACTGAAAAATCGGATAATTGAAAAGCCAAGAATTGTACATTTGAAAAAAAAACCCTAATAATTATTTGAAAAAAGTGAAGAATACAAAAATTTTAAAATGAAAAATCCAAAAAGTTCAAAATGAAAATCGAAAACTAAAAAATCGAGACACCGAAAAATTGAAAAATTGTAAAACCATGGAAAAATTAAAAATAAAACTGCAAATTCGGATAACTGAAAAATTGGAAAAACGAAAAAATAAAAAATCCCGAAATTGAAAATTTTCATTTTCAAAAAAGTGTTCAAGTTCTTGTTTTTCAATTTTAACCAAAATGAAATTTTGCAAAATCGACACATTAAAAAAGGCACCAATTAAAAATCGAGAAATTGAAAAACCGACAGAACGAAGCAATTCTGCAATTTTTCGATGTAAAATTGTTTAAATTTTCGATTTTTAATTTTTCATTTTCTCGATTTTTCATTTTTTAATTCTTCAACAAAGGACAAATTTATTCAAACTGAATTTTTGAAAAACCGGAAAATTGTAACACTGAATCATCAAAAAACAAAACAATTAAAAATCGAGAATTTGAAAAATAAAGAAACCTTGAAAAAAAAAAACGAAAAAATGAGACTTAAAAACTGAAAAATGAAACTTGAAATATCGAAAAATTTTACAATTGAAAAATCGAAAAAACCCTGATTAATTAAAAATCGAGAAAGTGAAAAAGCGAAAAACAAAAATTTTTATAAATCAAATAATCAAAAATACAAAAATTCTTAATTTCATATTCCAAAAATTTTAAAACGAAAACCGGAAAACTAAAAAATTAAGAAATTGTAAAAAAGAAACCCGGAAAAATTGAAAAATTACAACGTCGAAAAGACGAAACATTGACGAAAAATTGTGAAGATTGAAAATCGAAAAATTAAATTAAAAAATGGAAAAACTAAAAAATCGAGAAATCGAAAAATGTAAAAACGAAACACGGAAAAATCGAACAATTAACAATTAAAAAAACCAAAAATTTAAAAATCTCGAATTGAGAAAATAAAAAATCGAAGAAACGAAACAGCTTGGAAGTATGAACTTTATTTTTAATTTTTCATTTTCTCAATTTTTCGTTTTGTAATTTTTCAATAAAAGGACAAACTTATTAAAAGTGAAATTTCAAAATATCAAAAAATCGGAAAATGGTGACACTGAAACATCGAAAATTGAAAAAGAAACACTAAAAAACCGAAACCTGAAACACCGAGAAAACAAAATTTGTACAAGTAGAAAAATCCAGACACAAAAAGATCGAAAAAAAAAACAAAAAATTTAAATTGAAAAATCCAAAAATGTCAAAATAAACATCGACAAAGTGTAAAATTAAAAAATCGAAAACTGAAAAATTGGAAAAAAACGAAACATTGAACAATAAAAAAAATTGAAATACCGAAATGGCGAAATTAAAAAATCGGATAACGAAAAAAGCAACAATTGAAACTGTCAAATCTAAAAATTATAACATTGAGAAAACTGACGAAATAAAAATCGAGAAGCTAAGAATCTGAAAAACTTCGAAAATCGACTTTGAGCCAGTTTGAATTTAGCGCCGATGTACTTTGTTGTGATTGGTCGGAAATTAATGTACGCTGGCACGTCAAGCAAAGTGAAAATGACTAAATAGTCGCCGGGATTATGAGCTTATTTATCAAGCCAGAAATGCTTCATTTAATCACTCGAACTATATAAAAATATTGCGTATGCAACCAATTCCACACTTGTGTCGTTAAGGGTCATTTTCGCCTAACCTAAAACTGCCACTTCTCTGATATTCTCGGCGCGACTGACTGCACGATAATAATCAGACGATATAAATTTAGAACCACTTAAAATAATAACGTTAATATTTTACTAAAAATGATTAATTATTTAATATTTACTAAACAATTTAAACCAATACGGACATTGCACGTTACATATCAAACCCGAGTTGCAAATATAAGTAATAAATCTCCAATTATAAATAAATCATATTAATTTCCATAACGGTGACCAGAATTTCGAGTTCTACGAGTGTTATAAAAATGTCACGACTGAAATGAATCGACACTTTGCGACTATTATATAAATACAGCGGATATAATTTCCTAACGTCGGTGACAAAACAAACCCTCGGGCATTGTTAAAAAATCAATTATCGCAGTATCTGTAATAGGTAGCAAAACAAACGCTATTTTTAATTGGGCCGTACGTTAACCTACTTTTATCAAACGCAGTCAGGTTCAGCCATTCGTTAAGTTTGTGATAAAACCCGGCAATATAAATAATGACCGTTGTAATGACACTAACACGTCGAACTACCCACTTGAAAAAAATTTTAAATAATTCCCCGATTCCAGCCCATGAATATCCATCGACACCATTAACTCGTACTCACTTTCAGCCAAAAGTACCGCCGCGATACATAAATTAGTAATAAATCTCGCGCCCCATAAAATTCAAATTTTCGAAAATCGCGCACACGTGGCTTAAATTCAAGGCCTTCACTCACCTGAAGTTGCACTTCTTGCACTTGAACAGCGTCCTCTTGCTGTCGGCGTTGGAGCGCCTGTTCTTGTCCACCTTGAAGAAGCTCCCGTCCGCCGCCTTGAGCGGGGGCGGCGGTCTCAGCAGCGGGCTGAAGTCGCTCGTCGACGGCGCCTTCGTCAGCTTCGGCAGGTCGCTCTTGCTCTGGCTCGGCGACGAGTTCCTGTCGTGGTGCTTGGGTCTGGTCCCCGAGCCGCCGCTCGTGTCCAGGCTCTGGTTGCCGCTCACGTGGATCTCCGTCAGGTACTTGTTGTATTTGGTGTAGTTCCGTCGTCCCGTCTCGTCCGTCATCAGCACTTTGGCGCTCTCGTGGGCCGGATCTCGCACCGACTTCAGTTTGATATGTTTGGTGATGTCCCAGCGCCAGTTCGACCGGTACGAGCACAAGGAGCACTCGAAGGGTTTCTTGTTGAGGTGGCCCACGATGTGGACGTGGAACCGCGATGCGGTCGACGCCCAGAACGTGCAATGCGGACACTTGAACACCCTCTTGTGCTGCGCCACCGAGATGTCGTTGCCGTGGGTCGGGATTTTATCCGCGACCGGAGACAAATGGGTCGTGGTGAAGTCCTGACCGACGTAGCTGTTCTCGCTGCGCTCGCTGATCGGCGAATGGGTCCGCAGCGACAAGTCCAACGACACGTTGTCGTCGATCTTGTCCTCCCGGTACTCGTATTTGGAGTCGTCGACTTCCAAGTCCATCGGGACCTCGATGTTGTTCCACACGAACACCCGATTCTCCATCGGGTGCGGCTTATTCACGTTGTTGTTGTTCTCGCCGTCTTCGGATTGACTCTCGTCGATCTTGAGCTCGCTCTCCGACTCCGGGGGTGTGGCTTCCGCGGCCTTGATCGCCTCGGGACAGGTCTGCAGGTGGTGGTACAACCCCGTGCTGGATTTGCACCGCTGGCGGCAGTACTGACAGCGCGACGAGCTGATGAAAGTCGACGCGAACGTGTGGGGGTTGCTGCTCTCTTTGCCGCACTTCTGCTGGTGCTTGACCTGCTCCGACAGGCACTTGCTCTTGTGTCCGCACACCTGGCACGTCAGCGTGCTCGCCGCCCCCGTGATCAGCTTCTCCTTCAGCTTGTCGAAGAACGACGCGTTCTTCTCCTTGAAGTCGTCTTTGTTGGCCTTCGCCGGGAGGAGGTCCGGCATCTTGTTGTCCTCGTCGACGTTGTCGAACACCTCCTCGCTGTTGAACAGCTTGGCGAAGTCCTTGAGCGCGCTGTTCGTCGACCTGGCGCAGATCGCGTTCATGTCCTGCTGGCTCATCTCCGGCTCCTTGCGCGGCAGCTTGAGCACGGAGGTCTGCGCCGGTATCGGGATCAGGTTGGGTATGGGCCTGGTGGGCTTCTTCGGCTTCGGGGAGGTCTCCCGGACGATGTTGTGGACCTTCTGCTCGTGGCGGGTCATTTCGGTGGCCCACGCCGACTTGAAGTTGCACAGCTTGCACTTGTTCTTGATGTAGACGTTGCCATTGGCGTGGTGGATGATGTCATCCGGGTTGATGAAGTCCGGCCCGAAGGAGCCCTGCTCGGGGCTGTGCGACGGCTTCGCCTTCTTCGGCGGCTGGGGGGCTATTTCGGGCTCGTGTGGCGGCGGCGGCGCTTGTGCTACCTGTGTGCGATGCGATACGGAATTAGTCGGGTGTGGGCGCTGATTGGCCGGGCTCTGCACCGTCGTGCGTCCCGTCGTCGACTGGCGGAGGCGAATGCTGGTTGCTTTATCGCGGCCGCGAGCGCGCTACGCCCAAGGCAAAGATCGGCGTGGCGCGGACTTATCGCGCACGGTTCGCACGTAGAATGAGCGATAAGGCGCACGACGGTGCGGCGCGATGCGGTGCCGCCGCCGGTGGCGGTGCGAGGACGCGAACGAATTCGGAACTACTTACTAGTGTGCGCCGGTTCCGCCTGTCACTCGAGATGGAACGAATACGCAAACTGAATTACGTGAGACTTGATTTTTAACAAGTACTCCGAGGTGGTGTGTGACAGTGATGGTGTTGAAAACGCTACGAATAACAGAGAATCGGCTGAAGAGTGTCTCAGACAGTGATAGAATTTCCACTAAAAACGTCTAATCATTATTGAATAGTCAAAACAACAATTACCGTCCGAACACTGCGAAAATTTCCAAGAACACTCCTCATTTTTGCATTGTTTTATTTCAATACAGTAGCAACACAATTCACCGGAATTTTTAATTACGTATTAAAAACGCAAGTTATGTTTAAAACTTAGTCGAAGGTTATTTCGACAGAACTTCCCGGGCCCCTGAAGTGCAGCAAAATAAATTTGCGATGTTTCTGAAAATTTCTACAGTGATTTTCAATTTTTTATTTCATTTATTTTTTCAAAATTTCATATATTTTTTTTTCTTCAGTTTTTAAATTGAGCAATTTGTCGATCCTTCAGTTCTTCATTTATTCAAATTTTCGATCTCATTCTTTCCTTTCAGTTTCGATTTTTCAACGTTCCGATTTTATAATTTTTTGTTTTTTCAATTTTTCATTTTTAAATTTTACAGTTTTTCGATTTTGGATATGTCAATTTTTTGATTTGCAATTTCACAAATTTTCAACTTTTGATTTCTTCAATTTTATATTTTCACTTTTTTAATTTTACGATTTTACAATTTTTGGGTTTCCCAATTTTTCGCTTCTGCAATTTTCTTTTTTCCAATTTTTCGATTCATCTTTTGGATTTTCAAGTTTCTCGATTTTTAATTTTACAGTCTTACATTTTTCGTTTCTTCAGTTCTTCGATTTGCAATTCTTCGTGTTTTTTCTTTTTTTTGTTTTTAGATTTTTAAATTTTTTCCATTTTTTGGTATTTTGGTTATGAATTTTTCGATTTTTCAACTTTTCGGATCAAAAAAATGGTAAGATTGAAAAACTGTGAAATTTAAAACCAAACATGAAAAAGTATAAAATGAAAACGTGAAAGATCTAAAAATTGGAAATCAAGAACTTGAACTGAAAAATTAAAAATTGGGCAACCTGAAAATCGAAAAAACGATGTATTCTAAAATCAAAGTAAAATCGAAATATTGAAAATTAAAGAAAACTGAGAAAGTGAAAAATTAAAGAAAATTGAGAAACTGAAAAATCAAAAATTGAAAATTTGAATAAACGAAAAATTACAAAATCGAAAAAAATATTGAAAAATAATAAAGAAAATGAAAAATAAAAACCAAAAAATTCAAAATTGAGAAACTGAAAAATCAAATAAGTGCAACTCGAAAATTTGAAAAATTTAAACAATAACGAAAATGAAAAAAAAATCGTGATATCAAAAAATTATAAAATCGAAAAATTTAAAAATTAAACATCGAAAAAATGAAAAATTATGAATGAAACGAAGAACTGAAGGAACGAAAAATTGAAAAATCTAAAAAGGGAACTTAAAAATCGAAAAAATGATATATTGTAGAATCGAAATAGGTATTGAAAATTAACGAAATCGGAAAATCAGATAACTGAGAAGTCCAAAAATTGAAAAAATTACAGACGAAAAAAAGAAAAATTATAAAGTCGAAACATTGAAAAATCGAAAAATTGGAAAAATAAAGAGATGAAAAAAACGAAAAAGTGTAACGTAATTTCGAGGAAATAAAAATAAAAAATCGGGGAAATGAAGAATAAAACTCAAGAACTTCAATACCAAAAAACTGCAAAATTGAACAAAATGAAAGCTGAAAAATTACAGAAAATAAAAAAAATCGAAACATTTTGGTATCAAAACATTGTGAAATCGAAGAAAAAAGAAAAATAATTGTAAGAAATTATAAAACATTGAAAAATCGAAAAATTGAAACAAAGAAAACGAAAAACTGTTAAAATCGACGAAAAAGAACATGAAAAATTGCGACATAAAGGCATTGCAAAGTCCAAAAATTAGAAGAATTAAAAATTGACAGTGAAAATTTATAAATCAAACGAAAAACTGAAGAAGCGAAAAATCAAAAAACTGTAAAATTGAGAAATTTAAAAAATCAAGAACTTGAAAAATTGAAGAAATAAAAAATTGAAAAAAAAAATAAAAACTAAAACGCTGAAAAATCGAAAAATTTAAACAGAAAATGAAAAAAGAAAAATTGAAAAATCAAAAAAATGTAAAATTGAAAAATTGAAAAAAATCAAGAACTTGGAAAAATTGAAGAAACGAAAAATTGAGAAACTTAAAAATCGAAAAAGTGCAAAATCGAAAAAATGAAATATTGTAGAATCGAAACAGGTATTGAAAATTAAAGAAATCGTAAAATCAGATAACTGCGACGTCTAAAAATTGAAAAATTTAATTATTAAAAAATTGAAAAATTCAGGAATCGAAAAAAAAGATTGGACATTTGAAAAATCGAACAATTTAAATGTCGGGAAACTGAAAAATTGAAAAAATTAGAATTGAAAAAAGAAAAATAGGAAAAATAAAGATAAATGAAAAAAAACACTCCTAATTTTTGCATTCTTTTATTTCAATACAGTAGCAACACAATTCACCGGAATTTTTAATTACGTATTAAAAACGCAAGTTATGTTTAAAACTTAGTCGGAGGTTATTTCCACAGAACTTCCCGGGCCCCTGAAGTGCAGCAAAATAAATTTGCGATGTTTACTTTCTGATAATTTTTATAGTGATTTTCAATTTTTTATTTTTATTTATTTTTTTCAATCTTTCGATCTTTCAATATTTAAATTTTTGAAATTTTTGTTTTTTCAAAATTTCATATTTTTGTTTGTTTCTTCAGTTTTTAGATTTAGCAATTTCAGTAATTTTTTGATTTTCCAACTTTTGGATGTTTCAATTTTTGGATTTTGCAATTTCACAAATTTTTAACTTTTTGATTTCTTCAATTTTATATTTCAATTTTTTATTTTTGCAATTTTCAGAATTTTCACTGTTCTGTTTTTATAATTTATATTTTTTCTAAAATTAAAATTTCAATTTTTGGATTTTCAATTTTCCAGTTTCTACGATTCTACAATTTTTTTTCCAATTTTCGATTCATCTTTTAGATTTTCAAGTTTCTCGATTTTTAATTTTGCAGTCTTACATTTTTCGTTCATTCAATTCTTCGATTTGCAATTCTTCGTTTTTTCAGTTTTTAGATTTTTCAATTTTTTCCATTTTTTGGTTTTTCGCTTATGAATTTTTCGATTTTTCAACTTTTCGGATCAAAAAATGGAAAGATTACAAAATTGGAAAATTGTAAAATTCAAAATCAAAAATGAAAAAGTATGAAACGAAAACTTGAAAAACTGAATAAACGATGTATTGTAAAATCAAAGTAAAATCGAAATATTGAAAATTAAACAAAACTGAGAAACCGAAAAATGAAAGAAAATTGAGAAGCTGAAAAACTAAAGAAAACTGAGAAACAAAAATTAAAAATTGAAAATTTGAAATATTGAATAAATGAAAAGAATAATAATAAAATCAAGAACTTGAAAAATTGGAAAACAAAAAATTGAAACATCTAAAAATTAAAAATTGAGAAACTGAAAAATCAAAAAATTGTAACTCGAAAATTTGCAAAAATTAAAGTCGGAAAAAAAAAATAAAAACTATAAAACACTGAAAAATCAAAAAATTGAAGAAACGGAAAACTGAGAAACTTAAAAATCGAAAAAGAGAAATAGTGTAAAATCGAAATAGGTATTGAAAATTAAAGAAATCGGAAAATCAGATAACTGAGAAGTCCAAAAATTAAAAAAATTAATAATTCAATGTTAAAAAATCCAGGAATTGAAAAACCAAGGATTGGAAATGTTGAAAGTTGAAAATTGAGAAACTGAAAAATCGAAAAATTGCAAAAATTGAAAAATTGAAGAATTTTAAGTCGGGAAATTGAAAAATTGGAAAAATAATGAGAAATGAAAAAAAAAGGAAGTGTGACATAATTTCAAGAAAATAAAAATAAAAAATCTGTGAAATGAAAATAAAACTCAAGAACTTCAATACCGAAAAATTGCCGAATTGAACAAATTGAAAGCTGAAAAAACGAAAAATTATTATGAAACCGAAATATTATGAAACTGAAAAATGGAAAGCTTGAAAAATTACAGACTATAAAAAAATTCGATACATTGTGGTATCAAAAAATTATGAAATCGAAGAAAAAAGAAAAATAATTGTAAGAAATTGAAAAATTGAAACACAAAAAAAATGAAAAAATGTAAAACTGTTAAAATCGACGAAAAAGAACATGAAAAATTGCGACATAAAGGCATTGTAAAATCCAAAAATTAGAAGAATTAAAAATCGACATAATCAAAAATTATAAATGAAACGAAAAACTGAAGAAGAGAAAAATTAAAAAATCAAAAAACTGTAAAATTGAGAAACTTAAAAATCGAAAAAATGAAATATTGTAGAATCGAAATAGGTATTGAAAATTAAAGAAATCGGAAAATCAAAGTCCAAAAATTGAAAAAATTACAGACGAAAAAAAGAAAAATTATAAAATCGGAACATTGAAAAATCGAAAAATTGGAAAAATAAAAAGATGAAAAAAACGAAAAAGTGTAACGTAATTTCGAGAAAATAAAAATAAAAAATCGGGAAAATGAAGAATAAAACTCAAGAACTCAATACCGAAAAATTGCAAAATTGAACAAA